GAGGATTTTGGGAGCTTTACTACAATCACTACAACTACAACCACAACACACACACCACACACTGCTCAAGCAACTACTGCTTTGCTGGAAGAGAACGCCGTGACCGATGACTCTTCAGCAGTGGACAACACTGTCATGACTCATAGGGTTATTATTGGAACAATGGCCCTTCTGTTTTCTTTCTTTTTCATCATTTTCATTGTATATATCTCACGGAAGTGCTGCCCCCCCACCATGCGGCGGATACGCCACTGTTCAGCTATTCAGAACCGCAGACAGATGAGGACACAGCAGCGACAGCCAATGGCAGACCTAGCCACACAGGTACCCTATAATGAGTATGAGCCCAGCCATGAAGAAGGAGCGCTTGTGATCATTAATGGCTATGGGCAGTGCAAGTGTCAGCAACTGCCTTACAAAGAGTGTGAAGTCTGAACTCTTATTTATTCCAGGACATGAGGTTTGTCATGTGACCATTTCAGCAGAAACAGGGTTTGATTTTTTTATTTGTTCTCAGTTTTATGTAAAAAAAAAAAAAAAGAAAAAAGAAGCAGAAAAAGCGTTTTTACAAGTGAGATATAAAGATATTTGACATATATTAAATGCTTTAAAGACGGAGGTTGGACAGTAAAGGAATCATGCCAAGATAGCCACTAAATTATTTTTCTATGAAAGCAATGATGTTCATTTCAGCCGGGGGCAATCATCATCAGGAGAGGTGTGAACGGGGAGATTTATCTATATTCAGCAACACAGTGAAACCACTGGGCCTGACGACCCTCTGCTAATATAAAACAACAAGAGGGGGGTGGGCGTGATGCGTCAATTCTTCCTAAAGGTAATGATTTGAAATTAGATTTTATATTTAATTCCTCCAGAGGCACCGGATGTCCATCCGTCAGAGGTCTGATCAGTTATCCGCGTGGTGTTTTATGACATTGGTACTGATGTTAAAGTATAAATAAAGGTCACCACTTTGGAATCATTTCATAGAAATAATAATAATGAACCCATGAAATTTAACCCTTTTACAAAATCCAACTAAAATCAACAATCCTGAATAAGAAAAACTTTTGTTTTTCAAATATTTGTGATTCTTTATAAACTCTGGCTGTGAGCAAATGTGAGTAAAAGGTGGGAAATGGAAATGATGGTGAAATAAAGGCTGTTATTTAATTGAACACCATGGTGAACCACATGTTGGCTCATAAACACATTGTAGCTTACCTAAGGAGCCTCTGCCTTTGAGGGGCAACAAACAAAAACAACCTGCAGGACAGAAGAAGATGCATTTGGTGTTGATAAATCTCCAGCTCGCGCTGATCAAACTCATGGATGTCACCCTCACTTTTGAGGGTTTTGTATACAAAACAAGTGAATAAGACCTTTAATGTACAGTTATTTGTACATGGATTACCTATTTCCCTAAAGGCCATACAAACTGTGACCATGATATATTTGAGCTAAACCCAATTAAGTTCAATTTGCTGAGTTGCCATACCAGATTAAATTGATGGAAAATGTATGTTTTTGCAAGTAGCAAGTGAAAGGCTAATGAACAGAGCAAGTGCCAGAACAATTTATGCTGAAAATAAAACCTTTCCCAGAAGCCCAAAGTCTTTACTGCTTACACACTAATCAGGACTGACAGCTTCAAGATTGAACCAATTACGGAAAGGCAAAAAGAATTTTATATTCTGTCATCGACACCAGTCATCCAGCAACATTTAGCTCATCAATCAGGCAAAAGTAGCTGTTGTAGAATCATCCTTCATAGCCACAGAACGGTCCAGTAAACTTTTCAGAGACAGTTTTCTTTATTTTTCTATTAGAAACCGTCATTCAGTCAGAAACAACGATTTAAAGTGAATGAATACATCAATGTACGTGTTTGGACTAACAAGTCACGGCACACTGCGGTCAATGCAACCGAATCAAATGGAGATCTAGTGATAAGCCAACTGTGCGCTTTGCTCAGGACCCATCTGTATGCAGGAGAGGGTGGACGTGCACTAGCATCAGTCTGAAACTGCTGCTGCAGATTCCCACTCACAGCTTGGTTTGGTGGTGGGGGCAGGGGAGGACAGGCTGAGGGGAATAGACAGGACAAAGACAAGTACTGCTTAATACCTCACGTTTATGAAAACAAGCTTCCCTGTGGCCAAATAACAACAACAAACAACAGAAAGTATGAATGTCATCCTGAGCTTTAAGTGAAGACAGGAAACAGTAGCAACGATTACTCATTAACAAGAAACTTACTGTTCATAAACAAAAATGAATCATATCAAATCCTGATGGGGAAAGGCGGAGAAATCAGTTGTTCTGGTTGCTGGTTGCAAGTGAAAGTCAGCTATTATTTTCTGATAGAGTGATGCTTAAAGGTGCTGCATTAACTTTCCCTGTGGCTGACATCCTGAGTGAAAGCAGAAGGTACCATCTGCGGCTCTGTCTTCATGATGCGTGTCAAACGTTGGCTTCAGACTTGTATGTCGGCATATGTCCGCATGATGCCTACAAACACAAAATGCGTACACAAACCAAAACATTTTACAACTGATGCTCAAATTTAAATAGCACTACACACAGTACAATATTAAACTGTGATTTAAAGGTGTGGTTTACTGAAAATACTTTTTTTATCTCTCGATGATTGTCACTGAGTGTTTCATGCAGGCTAAACATGAAAATAGTCTTCTACACCAATCTCCTGCATTAGCTTCTGATACGAGATAGTGGACCCCCCCCCCCCCCCCCCCCCCCCCCCCCGGTCTCCTGTCCAGCTGTAAAGCAATCATAATTGATGTCTGAGCGACGAAAATGATTCTTACCCCTACTTCACAGGGGAAGTGTCTGTGTCAGTGGAATCCATTATAGTCTATTGGGGTGATTCAAACCAGCTGCCACTAAAGATAGGATTGGGTTCTATTTTTGCCGCAAGCGGCTTCTGGAGCATGTCACTTACCGTACTTAACATAGGGCTAGAAAGGAAATCTACTACTGTATCAGTGTAAAACCTACGGTAATTTCCTAAATAAAAGACTATTGCAGCAATGCAATTTTATGTAGATTATGTCCATATATGTGACCAAACAGCAAATTAACTCCCAGCACTGTTCAACTGTGTATTTTTTATGGTTTTAACCCTGGCAGTCGAGAGGAACAACATCATATATAACAATTCAAGTTTTATTTCAATTCAAAATATTTACATAGCACTAAATCACGACAAGAGTCGTCTCAAGGCACTTCACATAATAAACATTCCAATTCAGGTCAGTTCATTAAGCCAATCAGAAATAATGTTTCCTATATAAGGAACCCAGCAAATTGCATCAAGTCACTGACTAGTGTCAATGACTTTACAGCAGTCCTCATACCAACCAAGCAAAAAGCGGCAGTGGAGAGGAAAACTCCCTTTTAACAGGAAGAAACCTCCAGAGAATCCTGGCTCAGTATAAGCAGCCATCCTCCACGACTCACTGGGGATCGAGAAGACAGAGCACACACACACACACACACACACACACACACACACACACACACACACATTCAGCACCATGGAGAGCGCATCTACCAAAGAACCAACTTTCAAAATTGAAATGTTCAAAATATTACCGCAGAAAAATAAATAAATAACACACACACACACACACACACACATCACATCACATCAAACAGTAATATTAAATATGATTTCCTTCTGTTTGGTTTAAGGGCGGACGGCATAAACAAACTGTGACTTTTGAAATCTTGAGGGATGTTGTGATCTAGCGAGTCCCGGGAGGAGCACGGTGGAAAAGCCATCCCGCGGCCGACTCTCGCTCTGTGTATTGGCGCAGTGAAATTTGCAAGTAAACCATTCCGTGCTACTGATGAAGTAGGGGTTACAGCTGTACGCTCACAGGTGGAGCGTTACAGTGATTCGGCTACAGTGTCCTGCTTGATATCAACACTTTATTTGAAATCCTTAAACAGGCTGGTGTGGATTTTTCTCCCGCCTGCAGAGTTTAGATATTCTTAGTTTCACAACCATCATGTTTTTTCAGAACCCCACTTGATCGTCAGCTTGCTACCAGCTAGCATTAGCTAATCTGCCCGTAGATGCATTTTGATCCCAAACTTTGGACTGTTTCTGCCTTTGTGTGGTTTCTCTCTTTTCCTCCACAGCACCTATTAGCACACTTTTTATTTATTTATTTATTTATTTATTTATTTATTTATTTAACCACGTATAATGTTTGTGAACAAGTTCTTATTTACAAATATGACCTGGCCGAGAGCCTTGGAAATTAATACAAGAGAACAACAACAAAAACATATAAACATATAAACATTTAAGCATATAAAAACAAATAGAAACATATATGAACATAAAATTACAATAAACAGAATAGTGGTCAGGCTTTAAAACTTCTGAGTCTGGAACTGAGATGTGTGGGTACATATACGCATGCATGCAAAAGAGCCATTACATTTTAAAGTCTACTGCAGTGGTCCTCAATAGGCGGCCCCCTCTTTGTGGTCCCCAAACCCCATGCGCCCCTCCCCCCAGATGACAGGCGAACGGGAGGTGTGCTGTCACATAGAGGGCTGGTGTAATGAACCGCCAGCAGCGCAAAGCAAACCCTCCCTCCCGTCAGACAGCCGAGCTGGAGGGGAAGGTACAGGTATCGTGCCAAAGCGCCAAACCATAGTTAGTGAGAGTGAGATCAAGCAGCGAGGCAGAAGTGGGAGACTTAGCAGGGTTTCCCCTACAAATGATCAAGCACGGAGCTGTGCCACTGTTAAAATTACAGCGCCACGCCTTCCAGATCCCTCCCCACACACACAGATGCACAGAAAGGAAGTGCTCCCAGCGCAACTACCCCCTTCCCCTTTGGGTAGCAAAGGACTTGACTGAAGCTGGTGAAAGGCTGGGCTGTAGCTAGCAGAGGTCCTGACTGAAATTGGTGGAAGGCGAGGTTGTAGCTGTCAACGCTGATGGAGCAGTGGCTCTGCTCTGTTGCTGACGGTGTGTGTCTGGCTTGGCCTGTCGGCTAGCTCTGCTGGTTGTTGTGATTGTCCAGCGTGGTCTAGCAGCTAGCATTGCTAATTGGCGGTGGATATTTGGAGCACCGGTGCGGCCTATGGGATAGTTACGCTGGATGACGTGGTTCTCCGACTCGGTCTAGCATGCTAGGTCCGCTGGCTGGTGGTGGGTGTCCAGAACATTGGTTCGGCCTGTCGGTTAGCTCCGCTGCCTCAATCTCTAACTGTTTCCGTGTTTCACTCTTGCAGCCTTTCCAACAAGCAGAACCTTTGAAGGTGACGATGAGCCAATGAACAACCTGGTGGCTGGTGTTGAATCCTGTGCATTGTGCACCAGTAAAAGGCCTGTTCCTTACACAACAACAAGCAACTTACCTTTGTTCAACAAAGTTCTGGGTAAAAAAAAGTTACCTGAGAAGGTGTTGTACGAGTGCTACATCTACAACTGTTTATCGCACACTAAGTTTTTTTTTCATTGCATGTGCAACATATATGTCTCTCTCGTTCTGATCTGCTTTAGTCTGCTCTGCGGCTGCATACAGATGAGCTGAGCGCATTGGCTGTTGCATAAAAGTTGCACAACACAACAAATCGATGACGAAATGCTTTTCCCCCGGATTTCTTCATCAATTTTTTTGTTGTTGCAGCTCTAATAGAGACCCTCAGGAGAGACTGCTGGCAGAGAAGGCCCTACCACCCTCCCCCCACAGAGGATAATTCGGGGGGGGGGGGGGGGGGGGGGGGGGGGGGGGGGCGCATCCAGCAGCGATGCCAGAGGCCCAGAAGATCATAACAGCGCGCCCCAGACCTGCCTGCAGCTGTCCACGTCAGGGCCGGCTAAGTTCAGAACTCAAAATCCCGGAACCCAAAGGCGCCTGACCCCGGCAGAGAGCCAACTGAGCCCAGAGGACTGGGCACCGCCAGGCAGCCACCGGGAGTGAGGTGGCGGCTGCCCAAACTCCCAGTCCCAGACACGAGAGCTGCAAATACACAAGTAGACCAAGGCAGTGTAGCTTTTATTTTGAAACACATTAGTCACGTCACTGACACAGGCCCTCCCCTCAGTGGATCAGACAGAAAAGCGGGACTGCTGCTGCAGCAGGAGTTTAAACACAAACAGGAGACGGAGTTCAACCCCTAATTCCA